ATACTTAACAGAATTATTTAAAAATTAAACTTAGTTCAAAAAATAAAGAAAAAATATTTTTAAAAAGTTTTGGGTATTCAGGCCAAATCGAATAAGCTCAAAACCTGAAGGTGTTAGGATTGGACTTAGTTATATAGGTTTTTTAAAAAGGATATGATACTTTAAACTCAATTCAAATAAATTCGACCCAAATTGAGCTCAGCCCGCTCAAATTATCAGCTCTAAAAGAAACAAAAGTTTTGAATCTCTTATCCTCATAATGTAAGTTCTGACCCTCACAAGTTGTATGCCTTGTTTGCAACTTGAGTCCCTTTTCTTACTGATCCTTATGTTAACAATGTTGCCCAATGCGTGTTTTGGTGTTTACTCAAGTTTGAGCCTTGAACACCTAAGTCTTTGTCAAATATTTTCTTGGCCATACTCATGTTGTCAGAATTGTTTCCATGCATTTTTCAATGTATTCAAGAGGGTCTTACATTTCTTGAACCTATGTCTCATATGGTCCAAATTGTACCCACGCGAGTCCTAACAAGCTTGTGCTTTTGCCTAACTCATCCTCATATTGACAAGGCTATCCCACATGAGTTCTAGTTTTGATAAAGCATTTAATGCACTCTATTGAAAAAGTGCTTTAGCTCAATTTCTACTTTTAGACACACAATACAACATTCATAAACAACTAATGATGTCTCTAACTGTTAAAATCATCCACATACTATAAATAGAATATAATTTAAGTGAGTGGCTAAAAGATTAATTATTTGGATTCATTATTTACTAACTGTATTCAAGTTTTCAAACAAGCTCTTTATTTTCACTGATTTAGAAGCTTTTATTGTATTCTTATATACTCTTTTGAGAGTTTCTAATTTAGAAAGGTTTTATATTATTTTGAAATCTTAGGAAGATATTTTCCTAGGTACTTTATTGCTTACAAGTGTTGTAAGTATTTGTTTTGTTGGAATCAAGACTGGTGTAGTCTTGTGTCTACATTAAGATAGCAAGCACCCAATGAAGTTTGTGATTTTAATAAAAAATCTCAAGTATGATTTTGATTACTAGACATAAGCCAAGTGATTGGTTTGAACTAGTATAAATTAATTGTGTCTAGCTTCTTCTTCCTTGAACTTTATTTGTTTGACAAAGGTCTTTATGTCAAACTTTGTTTTGATTACAACCCTATTTTCTAGGAAAAATTTTGGAAGTTTTATAGAATGGCCAATTCATCCTCTCTTTTGGGTGACCATCTTATCTAACAATATCTTCCAATGTCATCATGAGAAATTCCTCCATTTGGACCACCACACAAACCATCAATATTTAACACCATGAAAGTAGCTATGAACTAATCCATGGTTGCCCTTTTGTTTTGTATTTTCCATTAATCATTACAATAGGGTTAAGGTGCAAAAATACATAGAAAATTTTTCTCAAAGAGCTTTTGGTATTTTTAAGTCAACAATAGTTTATGGCTACCTGTTAATTTTATTAAAGAGCTAAACCCTCCCCAATCCATTTTGTTCTATTCTTAAAACTTAATGGTCAACATCATACTATTTTAATAAATTGAGAAAGGTTGGTCTTTTTTTAAAGTTAATAAGTTCCCATGTACAATTATTGACCTAAGGATATTATTGAACTCTAATTTTGATGATTATAAAATAAAATGAAAATTGTGTTTCATAGGCTATTTAATCATAATTATCTAAGGGTAAGATAATTGGCTAAGTAGTTAGTCAAATCTGATTTAAGAAGTTTGGTATTAGTACATTAAATTTTATGGTCAAAACATTTCCTATATCTCGTATCTTTGTGAAAATTCCAACTTAGCTAAGTGTTTGGCTTAACTATATGTCTTTTGGTACATTAAATATCCTTGTGGAAGTTTTCCCACCAAGTGTCAAAACAAAATTTGTTTTCTGAAACTTCCTTATTGATCAAGTGCTTTTAGCACCGGTGCTACTCATGTTTTAACATTTATGTTACTCTCAAACACTTGTCCTTCCTCTATTTTGACTTTGTCTCGTTCACTTATTTCAAATCTTCAGCACCTGTATTATGAGGCAATACCCGTGCTATTTCATCTTCTTCAAGATTTTTTATTGTCCTGTTTTAAATTTATTATTTATCACCTGTGCTATTTTGATAACACCAGTACTATTATTCATGAGTAAATGGCATTGTCTCTTTTAAGAAGTTTTTTGAGTTGAGTTAACACGTGTGCTACTCGATAGCACTGGTGTTGACCTCCAAACTTCATTTTCAAAGTGTTACTTAACACCTATGCTACTGTCATAACACCGGCACTACTATCAACTTGATACTCAAGGAATTTGTTTGATTTGATTTAACGCCTGTGCTATTCTTTTAACAACATATGCTGTCAACCTTCCTTGAGAAAATCATTTTGTTTGCATAAATTGAAAAAGATCATCATTTTTTATTAATAACATTATTTCAGTACTAATAGAGTAACACCTGTGCTATTTCCTTTGTGCTGTTTTAGTTTCACATCACAGCATCGATACTAAACTTTAGTTTTAGACTTTGTTTTACATTCTCAATTTTAAACTCTTCAAAATTCATTTCTTTGCTATTCTTTCCACTTGCAATTAATTTTGTTCAATCTATAAACTTCCTAAATTCATTCTAAACACAATTATTGTTTGGATTAAACTTTTTGTGGTTCATTCTTGATTTGTAACACCTGTGCTAAAATGTCGCACTGATATAAAATCACAACCACTTTTGTTAGAGCATTTAATATTTATAACCATTACCTTACGTAAAGAGAAACCTCGAACGTAAAGTATTGTTATATTGCTTCAACCACTGGAGAAACTCAAAACAGCTTGGGTATTCAAAAAAACTCAAACAAAAGAAGACAAAGTATAGTTGGCTTCCAACGAGAAGATTTATGAGTCTGACGGCTTATTTATGAAGAACCAAGATAGTTAATAGGAGAGATAACAAGAATGAAATTATATCATTATTGTGCATTTAATTTTTACCAACTTTCTGTGAAATATTTATTGTTTGTGAGTTTCATAAATTATACATTCACTCTTTAAAGAGAGTTTATAATAGTAATAGTTCATTCTTAAACATACTCTGTTTATCCCTGTTTTACTTTATCGAAACAAAGGATTTTAAGCTCAGAAAGCTTAAGGGAAATTGACATTATCTTTATAAGGGGGAGAGATTCAAACTTAGTGAAAAGTATGTGAATGTATTGAGGCAACTAAGAGCCCGGTTTAATCTTGGTAATATAATTGAAAATCTCATGAGGTTCTTAAAGATTGGATGTAGACTTAAGTAGTATCAGTCAAACTAGAATAAATCATCTATGCAAACTCTTCTCTTATATCTCATGTTTGGTGATATTATTCCTACACTTCTCTCTTTATTTTTGCAATTTTTTTTTTAATTTTTAACTAGTCCAATTCACCTCCTTTTGAGGTCATTTACAGATACTACAAGCTCTTGAAGAAAAAGTTTATAAACATTTTTTCACCTTAACCCATTAAAATATTCAGAACTTTCATATATTTCATCAAAAGAATAAATATTTCATTACATATTTCTCTCACCATAAAGCATTTATTCTTGTTTAATAGTAGTCTGTACAACATATATTATCCTTCCTAGTACACATTGATATGAAATAACATATCAAACAATCTATCCCTGCGCAATTCGTTTCTTTTTGGGTGTAAAAAGGAGAAAAGTGCAGGTCAAAACAAGAATGCCTTAAGCCCAAAAATCGAGGACTCTAATAATAGCAACGTTGTAAGCGTCTTCCTGCAAGATGCAGCAAAGAGAGTGGGGAGGTTCGTCCAAGACAAGGGGACCCAAACTGAGGTTAAGGCAAGGTGGTCTACAGCTGCATTGGCTTCTCTATAGATATGTTGAACTATGAAATGCCAATTCTGTTCAAATGGCCACCGAGATCTGTCGAAGAATATGTTGGAATAAGCATTTGAGCCAATAGAGGTATTGGTAATCAGACGTATGGCTTTAATACAATTAGATTCAAGAATGGTGTGCTATTGACCCGCACGCTAGGCATTAGCAAGACCATCAGATATCACCCACGTCTTAGCATGCAAGGCTGTATGGTCACCTAAATTTTGGCGGATTCCCCTGACCAACGACCTTGATCATCACGTAGAAAAACACCAGATGAAGCACAACAACGTGCAAGGTCCTTTAAGACATCGCAATTAACCTTGATCCAGTTTGCTGCCAGTTTAAACCAAGAAACTGGTAAAGTGAGCGATTCATCAGCAGTACTTTCCAAGCATGGTGAATTATTTGCCTCATCATTAATGTGAGTTACCATGATTCCCTGTGCAATTCCCTTTTTATTATAGAAGTAAGTTTTGCATTAAGGACGAATAAAATCAATCCCATCACACTAGCCTAGCAAGAAATCAATAAAAGTAATTGATATGTTCCTGATTGAGATTATGATCAAACCAGCCACTTGTTCCATCTTTCCTAGTTATTTCCTCTATCACAAAGACTAGAAAGCTTCTTAATAAGCTCCCTACCCCGATCACACTCAACTAAAGGGCAAGACTCATTCTTCTTAGTTCATTTGGTATATAAGCAAATCATATTCATCTTCAATCACAGAAACAAAGCCTAGAATCTAACAAAAGTTTTAATATCAATATGAGTTTATGAGGAAGCTTACCTGCTCTATTGCATCAGCTGAGATGTCTAAACGGGAACCGAGTGAAACACTCAAACTCGGTTCGTAGTACACAACAAAATCACCCGAATAGAAAAGAGAAGAGAGCACTCAAAAAACAGATTCACATTGAATGTCTTTGGATGAGAAAAATGGTTCTGCCTACCCCCAAATAGCCTTGATTCATGAAGGAAAATGGGCAACGTGCATGAGATTATATTAACCGCTCCCGCCCATTATTCAAAATTGAGAGAGGGAATATTACATTCAAATACCCATCTTTATTACACTTAAGGACCAAGACTTGAAAAGGCACATATCTATAAAGTGGGCTAATATTTGGGCCTAATTAATATACAAAGAGTGGATAATCCAGCAAAAATAATAAATATTTCATTACATATTTCTCTAAGCATAAGGCGTTTATTCTTGTCTAATAGTAGTTTGCACAATATAAATTGTACTTCCTGGTTGATATGACAGAATGAACAAGCTATCCTCGTGCAATTCCTTTCTGAATGTAGATGTAAGATTTTGCATTGAAGATGAATAAAATCAATCCAATCACACTGAGCACAGCAAGTAACCCATAAAAGTAATCAATATGTGCCTGATTGAGATTATCATTAAACCAGCCACTTCTTCCATCTTCTTTCCTTGTTATTTCTTCTATAACAAAGACCAAAAAACTGCTTAAAAAGCTCCCCATTCCAATTACACTCAAGTAAAGGGCAAGACCCATGCTTCTTAGTTCATCTGGCATCTGATCATAGAAGAATTCTTGGAGACCAACCATGGTGAAAACCTCGGCAACTCCGAATAAGAAGTATTGGGGAATCAACCACCAGACACTCATTGGTACAATTGCATTTGGTTTATCAACTAGATCAAACTCAATTGCTATTTCCAATCTTTTCATCTCAAGAAGAGCTGCCATTACTACAGTAATTATAGATAAAAATATTCCAGTTCCAATCCTTTGTAGCATTGTGATTCCTGAGGGCTTCTTAGTGATAGCTCTTGCTATTGGCACAAACATCCTATCATAGATGAAGCTGAAAATAACAATGGCCAAAGTGACAAGAGATTGTAAAGAAGCGGCGGGTATAACAAAACCTGGATATACTGTTCTGTCCATGTTAACGCCTTGTTTGGTGAAGAAAGTTCGAACTTGAGCGTAGACAATACCAAACACCAAACTTGTGGCCCAAATAGGAACAAGCCTAAATATAGCCTTTACTTCTTCAACCTCACTAACACTACATGCCTCCTCATCTTTAGATCCTTTTGGCGTAAGCAGTGCTTTATTCAAGAACCTGCAGCCATAATTGATACCAAAACTACTCAGGTAAAGAAAGGCCACTATCACTGATACAATATTGCATGCATCTTTTAAGGGTTGAAAAGTACAAATTTACCCTCAAATTATAAGTCCAAAAACATTTGATACCCTAAACTCATTTTTATTCCAATGTTCCCCTTCAACATTTAAAAATGATGTAATGTCACCCCAAATGTTTTAACAAAAAAGTTAACTTTGACTATTGTTGACTAGAAAATTATAAAAAAAAAACTTCAAAAAGTATAGAAAAGAACCTAGAAATTTGCAAATAAATATCATATTTTGTAATTTTCTAGTTAAGTAATTGTCAAAGTTAATATTTATTAATAATAGGGGTAACATTGCATTGCTTTCAAATGTTGAAAGAAAACACTACACCAAGAAAGAGTTTAGCTATCCAAATGTTTCTGAACTTGTAGTTTAATGGCATAATTGTCACTTAACTCATCTTTAAATGCCTTACTTGAATTGTTTGGAACGTTGATGAGTGACCATGTCACAAGCTTCATCCTTGATTGCTATGTCTGACAAAGTATTAATTCTACGGTTTCTTATAGCTTTAGCAAAAACTCTGCCAATTCTAACGAATGGACTCTTCTTCTTATTCCCTTCATTTGGAAATCTGTAGGTCTTAGTTCCAAACAAGAAAACAAGCAATCCAACAAGCATGACGAGACAAGGGATTCCAAATCCAAGAACCCAGCTAAGGTTTTCTTGGATGTAGTTCAAGAAAGAGAGAGTGAGTAAGCAGCCTGCAGCCATAGTAAGATACCACCAATTAAAGAATGAGCTTCTGGCATTCCTTTCTTTTGGATGGTGATTATCAAATTGATCAGCTCCAAAAGCTTGAACACAAGGCTTATGACCTCCTTGTCCAATGGCCACCAGGTAAAGTGAGAAGAAGAACAATATTGTTATATGAAACTTTGGAGAACATGATGCCAACTTCGTTTCAGGTTTGCACTCAGAAATAGTGGCAGAAGAAAGCATGGCTGATAAAGTCAACATGCCTAGTCCCTGAAATTAAAAATATGCCACAAAGTTAAACGTTAGCATGAAGCTAACAAATACCAATACAAAACCACGCATATTGACTATAATATGATATAAGGTATTTTTTATAATTATGAAATAGACATAAAGGGGGTGTCGAATTATATACAGTGGCAGAGTTAGGATTGTGGGTTAGAGGTGCAATGGCTGAGCCAAGATTCTCAGTACAAGTAAGACTTTTTTGTCTCTTTCAAATTCACTATTTCTCTTTCCTTCTTTTTTTTTCTTTGTTTCCCAATTCAAATTACAATTTTAGATTTGTAAGTGCATCAAACTAGTAAAAGATATTCAACTAGTTTACTCTTAAGTCTTGAATCTTTATTTATCATTGCCTTTTTTCTAACTAGTCCTTAAGTATTCTGGACAAGGATGATGCAACTAGTTTAGTCAGAATAAATTTTTTCCTATTTTTTAAATGATTAATAAATAATATTCGTATTTAAGTTTAATGAAATTATGCGCTAATATTCACGAGGCTTTAAGTTAAAAAATTGAATAGATTTGAACTAAAAATGTAAGATTGAAAGGGGTTTAAAACTTAAAATATAAAAATAAGAGGGTGCAAACTATAATAAGTAGAGGGTGCAAATTGTAAACTATGAAAGCCCATACCTCCAAACATGTTATTTTTTTTAAGTGAGGAGGCGCATATGCCCTGATATTATATATATATATATATAACAAATTAGTTGCCACTAAAATTACTGCTTAATGAAAAGGAATAACTAAGCCCTCAAAAAGGGAGGAAGAACAGATGATTAAAAATGAGTCATTATGGATACAAATTAAAATGTTGTATTATTGAAAATTAAAATATTAACTTTATTTTTTCCAAAAGGAAAGTTTCCAAGACTCACCCTACATCACTTTATAAAGGAAAATTCAAATTTAATGTTGAGCGCAGTTAGCGGGGGGAAAAATACCAAAGAAACAAGAAAAAAGTTTATCCTAACTCAATAGGACTTCAGGATATTTTAAGTACGTACCAGAAAATATATATATATATATATATATAATAAAATATTCAGATTCAAGATGTTCTTACCCAAAAATAAATGAAGGTGATTTAAAATGAGCCGACATGAAAAATATAAAATATAGTATGGGAATATTCAAAGGTTTATTGGGTAGGTTGGCCGGGGAAAAAAGGTTCATCGCATTAACATGGCCAAAAGCAGCTTTCAGTTTCAATTATTAAGCTATGCTTTTTCTTGTTCATATTTTCCTTACTTGTTGATTCAAAAATAATAACATTCAAGCACCTTTTAAAAAATATTACTTATAATTAAAGATTTTAAATTTTAGAAAATTTAAAAATAGACCAATGCCCTTAAATTTTTTTTTAAAAAAATATTAGTTGAATCTTTCAGGACTCATATTTGATCTTTTCAACATCATTTTAATATCTTTTCAACAGATGGTGCCACCTCACGCTTATCTTCGGTATCCGATTAGGCTTTAGGTCTCCCAGGATTATTTAGTTTAGAGTTATTTTTATTTTTCAATTTTTGATAAACAGAGTTGCTATTCTGTTTAAGGCAAAGTTAGATACATTTTTTTTTCTTGTTAAAATTCAATAATACATTTATAAAAAAATTAATCATTTGATCTTTATAGTTTTGACTCAATTGTAATTCAGTTCCTCAACTTTAACTCATCATTATTCAATCTCTGAAATTTTGACTTGATTATAAATCAATTTCTAAATTTTGTCTCTTATAATTTAGTCCCTAAAGTTTTAATTTCTTAAATATCAGTCCCTATATTTTAAAAATAAAATTATAAATATTAAAAATATTTTAAAATTTTAATATTTATAGTATTTTTAAAGATTAAAAGGGTTTAATAATTTAAAATATTAGTAATAAATTTTAAAATATTTTTAATCTTTATAATTTTATTTTTAAAATATAGAGACTAATATTTAAGATGTTAAAATTTTAAAGATTAAGTTACAAGAGACAAAGTTTAAAAACTGATTTATAACTAAGGCAAAATTTAAAAAATTAAGTTATAACAAATCAAAATTTAAAGATTAAGTTATAATTAAATTAAAATTATAAGAATTAAATGATTAATTTGTTTTTAAATTTATTTAGCATACTTGCTCTTTTGTATATTCTTGTGAGTTGTAGGAATACTACTTGACGTGAGAGAGAAATTGACTTTTCTGCCTTCAAACTTGTACTTTTGGATTGGATGATTAACAAAACATAGGGGAAAAATTGGAAAAAAAAAATTCTAAAACAATAAAAAAAATTATTATTATTGAAAATTGTTTTCCAAGTTTTCACGTTTCCTTATTTTTTTTTTTACTTATTTTTATCTCCGTCCAATTTTTTTTGGAAATATTTCTCCTAATTTTTTTCTCCTTTTTTTAGAATGTTACGAGTTTGAAAGCAGTTTGAGCCATTAATTTTATTGGACGCAGCCCGGTGTTTTTCTTTTCCGATCATGTGTTGATTGAGTTTCTAGCTAGTATATAGTACATACTCTCATCCTATTTATAAAATATTTTTAACATATTTCATCATAATTAAAAAAAATTTAAAATTCATTAGCTCTGTCTAAATATTTCATCATAATTAAAAAAATCTTAAAATTTATTAACTCTGTCTAAAAATTTAATAATTTCTCAATTTTATCCCTATCAAATATACATACTTTAACAACACATTTTCTTTTTTCAATATTTAATTAAAGTCAAATGAAAAAATTCGTAATGAAAATTCAATGAGATGATTTATAAATAAGATAAAAAAATCGTATCTCTTTATCTTATAAATAAAATCAAAGAGAGTATTAAGGAGAATGACATTTAAAATCTTCTCAAAAAAATTTATTACAATAAAGGCTCATAAGCTTTGCATTGAATGTTAGCTTATGAAAATATGTATATGTTATTGTTAAAAGCTAAACCTTAACGTTAAGGTTTAGCTTTTAACAATAACATATACATATTTGTACAAGACAATATTCGATGCAAAACTTATGAGTTCTTATTATAATAAATTTCCTTAGCTTTAAATATCATTCTCCTAATATATTAAATTTGTACCTATGTTGTTTTCTTTGCTTCTATATTTCACTAACCAATTCCTAGTTTATGAGGTTTGTTCATGAGGTTTTCCAGGACAAGTTACTATTGGGTCTACATCAGTTTATATATATATATATAAGTTAAATTTAATTAATGGTAATTGCTTTCTTCAACAAATTTAAAAATGAAGCTTACTTTTAATTTTTATTTATATTTATACTCGCCCTATCACATCATAAAGGAAAATTCAAATATTTAATAAGTTGAGCGTAGTTGGCCAAAATAGAAAAAAGAAACAACAAACAAGTTTAAGAAACAAGTTCAACAAACACGCACACAAACATATCAGAGGAGAGGGCTTCAGGATATTTTAAGTACGTACAAGAAAATATAAAATAAAATATTCAGATTCAGGATCATCTTAAATGAGCCGCCATGAAAATACAAAATAGAGTGTGGCAATATTCAAAGGATTGTGTCAACATTCGAGTGCCATATTGGTATCGAGGTTTGTATTCTTCCACATGTCACATGTTGGAATAGACATTAAGAAGAAAGGTTCATTACGTACTTTGGCTTGGGGAAAAAAAAAAAAAACACATCATTCATGACAATGTCATTGTCAAAAGAAGCTTTCAATTATTAAGCTGTGCTTTTTCTTATTAACGTTTTCCTTTTTCATTTATAAGTGATGGGGGGCAAGTAACATTTAAGCATTTGATTAAAAATAGTATAATATTTAAGCATTGCATTAAAAATATTAATTACGATTAAAGATTTTAAATTTAAAAAAAATTAAAAATAGACCAAGGCCCTTAGTTAGAAATTAAAGAAATTAGTAGAATTTTTCAGTACTTACATTTGATCTTTTCAACATCATTTTAATGTCTTTAATACTTAACTTTGATTTTTTTCAATATTCATCTTCAATATTTTTCATCCATAGATGGTGCCACCTCACACACGTCTTCCTCATCTGACTAGGCTTTAGGTCCTCCAAGATTATTTAGCTTGGGGTTATTTTTCTGTTTAATTAAGAACAAGTTATCTACACTTCTTTTTTATGGTTGAAATTCAATAATAATTTTGTTCAGCATACTTGCTCCCTAGTATATTCTTGAGAGAATACTGCTTGAATGACAGAGTGACTGACTTTTCTGCCTTCAAACTTGTACCTTTCGTTTTCGATGAGTAAAAAAATAAGGGAGAAAAAAAATTAGGGGAGTTTTAAGAAAAAAAATTATTATTTTTGAAAAAAATTATTGTTTTTAAAAAAATTTATAGTTTTTATTTTTCCCTATTTTCTTCCTACTTTCTTTTTTTGGTAGAAATTTTCTTCCTACTTTTATCTCCATCCAAACTTATTTTTAAAAAATATATCTCCTAATTTTTCTTCCTTCTTATTTCTTTTCTCGTCCAAATGAATGTCAGAAGTTTGAAAACAGTTTGAGCCATTTTTTCCATGGGGCACTGCCTAGTGTTTTTCTTGAACATGTATTGATTGAGTTCCTATTTCCTAAGACATGCAATTTTGACATTAATTTCATACTTATCTTTTTTATTATTATATTAATCTTGTTTTCTTTGCTTATTTATTTCACGAACCAATTAGTAGTTTATGAGGTTTCTTTATGAGATTTTCTAGGACAAGTATCTATTGGGTTTACATCAGTTTAAATATATATGTAAGTTAAATTTAACTAATGATAATTGCTTTCTTCAACATGTTTAAAAATAAAGTTTACTTTTAAATTTTAATGTTTATTTACAACAAGATAGATACTTAGAACTAAATTTCATGAAATAATTTCATTTAAAAATTTATAAGCTAGACAAAGATGTATGTTTGAAAGATGAAAAGAAATTTTGGCCAGAAAAAGGTGAAAAGATGAAAAAATTATGTTGTTTATGAAAGTGAAAAAGAACTATCTATAATGTATCCAAAATTTACAAGAGCACGCTACCTTACCCAAATATTTGCTTATTTTTTGCCCTTATTTAAACTTGCACAAAGAGTCAAAACATGGAAAATGCATACTCCTTCGATTCTGTATATTAATCACTTTTTAAAAGTATAATTTAATTTACTTTATAAATTACTAATTGATAAGATTGTTTTGTTTTAAATTAAAATTTTTAAATTATCCTTAAAAAGTAAGAAAGGAAAAAAAAGATAAAATAATATTATATTATTTTTTTATTTTTTATTTTTTATTTGAGAGTTATATTTAAAATTTTATCTATTTTTATTTTTTATATTTTTATTATATTGATATTAATAAAATTAAAAAATAATTTATAAAAAAATTGGAGGATTACACTCTAAAACAATGTCAAGGTCAAGAAAAACAAAAAAAAAAAAAATCCTAATGAAAACAAAGAAAAGAAAAGAAGGAACGGCTCATGAAATGACACATGGAAAGAGAAGACAGTGAAATGTGACAGTGACAGAGATAAATATCTGTACTATTTTTAATGGCTAAGCAAACAGGGCATCTAAGATTTAACGAATTGCGTATACTATTATTATTGAACTTTAAATTAAAAATGATAAATTATATTTTAATATGAATTTTTAATTAAAAATTATATATTGGTTGGTTGTCCAGTGACAACACCACTTTAATTAAAAAATAATAATAATAAAATTTTTCTTAAATATATAAATAATAATTTAATTTTTTAAAATGTTATAATTCTCTTAAAATTTTTAGAGTTTTTTTATCATTAATAAATTTATATAAATTATCAAATTATCCTTATTAAAAATAAATGATTCATAAATTTTGTTTAAAATGTCATAATTCTCTTAAAATTCTTAGAGATTTTTCTGTTAGTAATTAATTTATATAAATTATCAAATTATCCTTATTGAAAATAAATGATTCATAAATTTTGTTTAAATATTTACAACTTTTCTTTTTATATTCGCAACAATGCAATAACAAATCACAACTTTGCATGTTAAATTCTTTATTTACTGTTGCATTGTTGCGAATATAAGAAGAAAAGTTGTGAATATTTAAACAAAAATTGTGAATTATTTATTTTTAACAAGGATAATTTAATAATTTATATAAATTTATTAATAATAGAAAAGTTCCTAAAGATTTCAGGAAAATATAATATTTTGAAAGATCAAATGTCATTTATATATTTCATAGAGATTTTATTATCATTTTCTCTTTATTTAATATGAATGTTTTAATTAAAAAATATTAATAGTTAGTTTTTTTATGACAATATCATGTTCTTCTTTTAAAAGAAATCTTGAGTTTAAACTTTGCCTTTTGATACATTTGTATGTGTATTAGCATATAAATATCTATGTTAAACAAAACAGTTTTTATTAAAAATAAAGTTAAATTTAATAAGTCAACAAGATTGAATGTTGGTTACATGAAAATAAGATATTCAAAATTGTGGGAGGTCTGCCCTGACCTTGGCTCTAGTGTGTTATCCATGTCTACTCCATCTAAATTTTCACTTATAAAAAGAAAAAATATATTAAAAATAGATGTCTATCATATAACTTATTTTTTAAAAAAGTTTATATAAGTTATTAAGATACAAATTTAAGAAAAATGAATGAAAAATGAATGTAGTTAAGGTCAATTTATATATAGAACTTGATATCAGTTCCATAGTAGATATACTGTTGCCAAAAGTTTTATACCAAGTACCCCCTCTATTAAAGAATAGAAGGTATTTATAATCTTTTGAGGTGTAATCAATTTTTTTTTTTAAATACCCCTATTAATGAATAATTTATATTTATTATAGGATATTTAATAAGAATAAATATAAAAATAAAATTAATTTAAAAGTAAATAATTATTTTATTAGAGTAATATTTAATTAAAAATATTTTATATTTTTAAATAAAAATAATATATAAATTTTTTACCTAAAAAAAAAAGTGCCAAGGGAATAAGAAAAATGAAAAGAAAATAAAAGCCAACAAAAAGTCAAAAGCTGAAAAAGACATAGACGCATAAAGAAGCTAGAAAGTGGAGAGAGGGAGAGTGGGATTCCCTGGGCCATGGCGAGGGACGCAAATTTCTTCCAGATTTTATATTTATTAAAACAAATATGCTTGATCATAATACCTGGATTTAATTTGAAATAATTTGAATATTTTTAAAATACTTATCATTAATATAAATAGTACAAATTTAACAAAAATATTATTTATAAATTTTTTTAACAAAGATACTTGATCATAATAATCAAAATTTATAAAATTATAAAAAATTTTAATAAATATGTTTATCATCAATATTCAACTTTAATATTAAATTTTTTTATAATTTTTATTTTTTAATATAAATTGACCATCCAAATAAATTTTAGATATTAAAAATAAAATTTTTATTTTAATAAATATAATAATAAAGCTAAAGATACTTTCTTAGTATGTACTTTTTGGAAAACATTTTTTATATAAAGATGTTCTTATAAAAAATATTTAAAAAATTATAAGTTAAATTTAAATTAATTATTCAGATATTTAAACAGTTAACTTATAAAAATTATAAAAAAAATTCTGGACTGCTAGGTCTGTGACCAAGTAGATTTATTTAAAAAATAATAATAATTTTTTTTAATAAAAGGAAAGGTGAGGTTCCCCGGCGGAGGCATTCCGGAATCTGGGTGAGAGACTGAGGAGGAGAGAGAGAATGAACCTGACCAAGATATAGACAAGAGAAGCTCCAACAATTATGAGATAGCGTCCAAGGAAAGAATCAGCAATGAAAGCAGCCAACAGAGGCAGCAACGACGCCGTTCCTTGCCATATATTCACATTCTTCGCTGCTGTGGCTGTGCTCTCTTGAAGCGGGCCGGTCAAGAAAGTGATGAGGTTGGATCCTATCCCGTAGAACGCTATCCTCTCTCCCACTTCCACACGTTCCGTAAACGAACCAATTAATCAATCACCAAACACAGAGAGAGAGAGAGAGAGAGAGAGAGAGAGAGAGAGAGATCGAGTGTGAGCATACCTATGATGAAGCATGCTGATCTCCAATAGCCAGACTGGGATCTGATCGCCGGCCGGCCTTTGAAGTCGACAGCGCCGTTCACTGTATCGTGTTGCAGAAGCGGAGTTGTTCCTAGTTCGGAATCCCGCGAAATGGCGTCGTCGGACACGTGGACGATGGCCATCTCTTCTTCTGATATGTTTCGAAAGGAAGGCTCCAGATTAATGGAGTAACTTCATTATTATAAAATGGAGGTGAGGATGAGAGGAGAAAGATGGAAAGAAGGAAAGAATGAATGCATTGCAAAGGATAGTCCATGGCTTGCTTTTCAAATGACCAAATGTAGAAAAGTCTGTTTTGTTGAAATTTGGTTTTGCAAAGAGACTTGTCCTTTTGCCTTCCAGGCCCAGCATTCCCTGCGCCTGTTTGTGCGGTGCAAATATCGATTTATGAGTCATCTGATTATTTTTTTTAATTTTATAAAAAATATAAAATTATCAAATAATTCCCCCACATAAAGTAGATATTAGGTAGAGGTGATTCCAAATTTTTGACATCATTTTTTATTTAAAAATATAAAATATTTTTAATCTTTTAAAATATAGTTATTATTTTTTTAAAAAATTTTTTATTAATAATAACTTTATATTTATTATAAAATATTTAATAAGAATAAATATAAAAAAATAAAATTAATTTAAAAATAAATAATTATTTTATTGAGAGATAAGATTTAATTAAAAATATTTTATATTTTTTAATCAAAAAATATATTATATTTCATTTAAATAATACTTCATGGATGGTATGATTTATGCTTACCATGGGCGGATGCAAGGAGGATAGAGAAAGGCTCCACCACCACCGCTCTTCCATCAACCTGAGATTCTCCAAAAGATTGCCTAAAAAAGGACCTACAGAATTAATTTCAGAACTCACTTTATTAAGGGGATGCTCCATTGCAGCATCGGACCATCAATTAATCTATTAAAATTTGATCTGAATCAAGTTAAGCTCGTACTTCCAAGCAACTGAAACTAAGGGCCTATTTGGTTTTCATTCTCATTTTTTTTTATTTTTAAAAACTGATTTGCGATATAATTTTTAAAATTATTTTTTAAAATAAAATAAAATGAAAATATGTTTAATTATGTCAATAAAAAACAGTTTTTAGATTAAAAATGAATTGATAATAATGATTATAAACAGTTAATTGTGGTGATTAATAATAAAAATTGATTAAGATAATTATAATTTTTAATAATTAAATATAATGTATTTTAAAAATAAAAAATAAAATGAAAACAACTTAAACAAAAAATGAAAACAGTTTTAAAAAAATTAAATAAAAAACACTTATCAAAACAAATTTTAAAAGTTTTTCTGTTTTCAAAAACAGAAAACAAAAACCAAACACTTTGAGTTACCATAACCATTTATTTTCTTTTGTCATCACTAGTGCATAATTGAAAAAAGTCAGTACAGTTTGTTATGGGCTACGGCTTGCCTTCATGCTTATCATTTAAATTTTAACTTGAATGGTTCATATTTTAACATGAATCATCTAAATTTTAAGTATTTATTTTATATTTATTAAAATAAAAATTTATAATTTTTTTGATAAATTATTGATCATCAATTTGGACAATACACATTTAAATTGGATGACTCAATTGAATATTAAAAGTCTTCATAGTTTGTACTCCTCCCATTAAAAAAATATAAGACATTTTTAAACAAATTTCAGCCTCAATAAAGTAGTTACTTATTTTCAAACAAACGCTATCTTTCTATATTTACCCCTATTTAATAGGGTGTTTCACTTTAAAATAAATATAATGTGATTTATTTGATAGGGACATTTTTGAAGAAAAAAAGATGATTATTACACCTTAAAAAATTAAAAATACCCTATATTTTATAATATTTAATCTTTTTAAAAATACCTTACATTTTTCAACAAATGAAGTATATATTAACTATCCAGATATATACAAGAAAATCCAGATTTAATATTAATTTTTTTTATATATTTTTTATTTTGGTAAATACAATATTAAGAATAAAGATAATCTTTTAATTGACAATTTACCAAAAATATTTTTAAAAAAAATTACAAGATTTTAACCTTAAATCGTTCAAATTAAATATGCATAGTCAATTTATAAAAATTTTAATATTAAAATTTGAACCCTCCAAATTAGATACAGACCAGATTGATGTTAAAGCCTATTTATTAAATTCTTTATCAACTTTTATATTAATAAATATAACATAATAACTTTAAATTTGGATCATTTAAATTATTTAATATTTTTTAAACTAAAAACTTTTAAAAATTACTCCTTTGTTTAAAAATATAAAGTATTTTTTCAGAGATTGGATGTTAAAAAATATAAAGTATTTTGAGGTCTTTTAAAGTGTAGTCATTACTCTTCTTTTTTTAAAAAAAGTGCCTCTATTAAATGAATCACTTTATATTTATTTTAGAGTGAAATACCCTATTGAATAGGGATAAATATAAAAAAATAAGGTTAGTTTGAAGATAAGTAACTACTTTATTAGAGGTAATATTCAGTTAAAAATATTTTATATTTTTAAACGAAGGGAGTATAACACATTTAATAAATCTGATCAAGTGCCTAAAGGGCAACATTCATAATAAAACTAGAGATATCAATAAGAAGCTAAACCCCCTTAATCCCACTGTTAGGATGATTAGGTTTCTCCACCGGAAAGTCCAGGTGGAAGCACAAGGAAGATTGCACCAAATGCAAGAAGTGTGATAAGTGGCATATGAGAAGATGCTGGAAATACTTTATGTAATGCTATAATTTTCAAAACATAATTGATTAGTCCTACCATGATGGGAAAAAAAAAAGTCTAACATGATAATTAAAAACAAACTTTATTTTTTTTAAAATGTTATCATAATAGTAAAGAGTTTGCTATGGTAAGAAAAATATATTTTATCATTTTGAAAAAACTACCATGGTAGAAAAGAGACTGCTATTAAAGAAAAGAGTTAAACAAACTTCACATAGCTTTACTATGTTAAAAAAGGATCTTCCTGAATATTAAGAATAATTTCAATCAATTACCATGGTAAAAAAAAAAAGTTCACCATGGTAGAAAGAATTAAATTGTGTAAAATAAACCTACCATCGTAATTAAAAGTTTTCTAATCAATATAGTGTAACAAATGGGATCCCATTCGAAACAAGAGTTTGAAATTCATAATATTGTGATAAAACATAATTAGCATTGAAGCATGGTTTCCAAGGGCATTTTTGTCCAACAACAAATACACAAGGGTAAAAATGCCAAAAGGCACCTTTCCAGAAACAAAAATAGGGACAAGGTGTAATCTCCTCCTCACTATTCCGCGATTAACTCCAAATCTTAATTAATTAATAGATTGGTTTAAGGTAAAAATAAATTTACTAAATCATAAATAACTTATAAAGATTGGGATCTCAAGTTTTCAAAGTTAACTCCATCTAAAGAGGATTTGTGATTAACAAATCAAAGAATAACTATTATGGGAAGCAGGGGATCATTTAAAGAATTAGCTCATTTACTTAGAAATTAGAAAACAAAAGATTTTTGCTAAATTCGAGGCGTGCATCGGCTCATTAAACATACGCCATAGCTTGTGAGCTTTTATGCCATACGCCGTGACTTGTTGCGCAATGCACTGCAGCTTTTTCCATATTTCACGGCAGCAAAATTCTACTATCAAATTGACAACTTTTGAGGTAACTTTCGACGTGTCATATTTCTTCGTCTGACATCCGATTGATGGGAACTAGATGTTTATAAAAAGCTTTTTCTATGCTTTAGCTAATGACTTCAGTTTCACACTTAAATTATTACTCAATCAAAAGTTAGACACTCATTTCAAAACTCTCACTTTTTTAATAGTTTACAGTAAATTAAGTTTTCAATTCACACACCAAAAGCCAAGAGTTATTGACACCAGTTAGACCATATGCAATGGACTCAAACAGACCTATGCAACACACTATAATATGAAAAACACTTATAAATCACCTTTTCAATGTTTTAGTCCCGTGCAAATATGGATTTATTAGTCATCTGATTATTTTTTAATTTTATTAAAAAATATCAAATAATTCCACCATATAATGTGGATATTTTATAAGGGTGATTCCAAATTTTTAATGCAGAATATATCATTTATCATTTACGTTGCATTTGGATGGATCAATTTAGATTAGGAATTTGAATTTGAAATCTCATATTTAAAATTTTTACATTTGAAATTTATATATTCTAAATTCTATATTTGGATGATATAAAAAATTTCAATTTATAATATTAAAAATAATTTGTTTGGATTTTAAATAAAATTTTAAATTTTAAATTTTATGTTCAAATTTAAAGGCAACTCAGACAAAATGTCAATGGTCCAGTCCTAATCAAAGTCAGAAATCCGATCCAAATTAAGCGTGGTGACCTGATCTCGGTCAACTCTAGCTATTTGAACTCGAACAACATTACTGGCCTAGTCTTGGTAAGCAACAATAGTTCGATCATGGTTAATATCAGCTATTCGATCCCAAACAACGCCTAAGGATTAATACAGGACGATTACAACTTTTCGAGGGCTGCATATTGGATTTGAATGACAACACTAGAACATTCCCTTTTTAATAGTAGTGTTTGGTGCCAAACGACAAAGGTGAACGAATCAAAGACAATGATAAAAAACCAGTTCCATTTGGCGATAATGGTGATGGACTCACACATGTTAAATGTGATAGACCAGCACAGGATAGGGGTAGTAGACTAACACTAGATAATGGCATTGGATAGGCATCAAATGACAATGACGATGACGACAAATGGCATCAAGGAGCAAAGGAGGGTGGTCCTGATTGATACTAAAAGTTAATCCCAGTAAGTGCTAGTAGTCTTCCTTGTTAAAGCTGATAGTTTGATAATAGTCACAAATGGTCATCTGATCCTAATCACTATTGAAAGTTTAGTCTTGATCATCATGACGGTCCTATTCTAATTAGCATTAGCAATCTGATCCTGATCTTGGTCGATGCCAACGATCTAGTCCTTGTTAATGCCAGTGGTTCGATCCCAATTGACTTTGATCTTCCAATCCCATTTACAGCTAACCTTCTAGCCCCGATCATAGCTGACAATCTTGTCTTGGTCCTAGTCTATAGTACGGCTCCGATTATCTAATCTTGGTCATAACTAATAGTCCATTCTTGCTCCCTATGTTGTCATTTTAATAACTAATATTTGTGAAATTCTTGCAATGTATCGCGACGCATAACACAGAGGCGAGTAAGCCGGGGCGTTTGTGTCATAAGCCGCGGCGCATGTTACATTTTTTACA